CAGGGAATATCTCTTTGAAAACCTGGGAAGGCGAGGCTGCAACTCTCCCAGGATGGCAAAGTGATAGTAGGAAAGGGTTGGGAAGCCTGCCAATGCCTTTCTCATCACAAGTCTTCCTTCTCCCAGGGAGTCCTGGGTTAGGTAGCAGCCCCAGTGAAGAAAGAACCAGAAGATGGTGGCATCAAAGACATCACAGCCAGGAAAATACACCTGGGGGAAGCCTTTGCGTCCAGCCTCCCTGGAATGCATCTGGAATTTCTGCTTATTGCACAGCCAAGAAAAGGGAGGAAAGGATGGAAGAAAAGGTATGTCAGAGGCTTAATTTTTTAAAAAAAACTACATTTATTAAGCATCCAATGTGTACCAGCCACATTCTAAGTGCTTTACCAGAAAGATGGTCTCTGCTCCTAGACCAGGCTACAATGAAGACCCATTCACCAATATTTGGATAGGACAAAGTTTGTTATTAGGGACCACTTAACTCTTTCCCTGACTCTCTAAGAGCATACAAGTAAGAGTGGCTTTCTATCCATTTCTGCCTTTCACCAAATAGTCTTTCTTCACTACACCAGCTGATTGGGGGTCTATAGGAGGAGGGCTCATCTTTTCAAACTGCTACTTCCAGGTAGATTGACATTTGCTTTTCTATGCCTCAGTTTTCTCCTTTTTGCCTGGCTGTGGCCAAAATTAGCTGACAAATACAAGGTGTCTTTGTGTGGTTGCTTCTGCATTAGTAAGAGTTCATTGAAGATAGCAATGAGAACGATACATAAATGTACTCTCAAACCACAAGATGCATGGAAGAGTTCTTTGTATTGCACAAAGTGTTTTAAAACTGCAGTTGTTCTCAGCAGCATTTGCTCCCAGAGGGGGTGAAGGGGAGGAGGGAACTAAGGCTTCTGGACCTCTAGGGAAGAGGTCAGGTGGTGAGCGGGTAAGGGAGATGCTAGCTTTAGAACTCACTGCATTCTCTACTTTGTTCCTCACCAGGTCTTCCATGCTACAGCTTCTGCTTCTTTTCTACACTGTTAGTATCCATTCCCCCCTCCTCTCCCTTGCATGTTTCACTGAAAGGTGAGAAAGCTAGTATACAGGTTTACCCAGTTTTCCCATTTACAGCCTTTGTAATTAAGCAATTTGGTCTTCATGCAAAAATTATTCCATTCAAAAAAAAAAATAAAGGGAAACAGCAATAAATACAACATAGGAGATACTTTTTTATCTCTGTCCAATTTTCTATAATATTCTCTGGTTTATAAACTGGCTGGCCCTTGATTCTTTTTGGTTTTGTTTTCAAATTTTATAGTCAATTATTCACTGGCATATTCATTTAAATCATTGCCGCTTTTATTCAGGAGATTGTCAACTAGGTCAGTAACTTCGAAACAAAGAAGAATGGGAAGAACCTTGAATTCTGCCAGAAGGGTACACAGCCAGTTAAGCCTGACGAGTGCTGCCTGCCACCCTACAGGCAAAACTGATGTTCTGTGGTCAACCTTCACATCAGGCATAAGGCTGAGCCCCAAGAAAGGTTTCATTGTGCACGGGGAGGATCCCCTGAGAGGGAAAAGCCATTAGCAAGTTCATGAATCAGAGTTCTGTTTTTAGTTCTTTTGTGAAATAGACTCATTTCTTAGCTCAAGAAAATCCCTATGCCTAGATCATTCTTCCTAAGTATATATTAAGGATGAATCAAATCACACCTTCAGAAGTGCCAGTTCCCAGGTGAAGGAAGACAGGAGGCTCAGCTCCTTCCGTAGACACTGCAATGCTGCTTCTAGTGACAGGTGATCATTTCCCAACACACACCCAGCACAATTTCATGCCGGCACAGATTGTTTTCTTGTGTTGTTGTATCTAGATTCAGATGTCTGCAATGTTCATATGGGGCTGTTCATTTACTTAACTTGTATTGGAGCAACTACTGGGTGCTCTACGTGGTGTCGGGTACTGAGAATTTAACAGTGATCTAGACAAAATATCTACTCTTGTAAGTTTATATTTTAATGCAATATATACATTACATTTTCATGATAAACAATAAAGAAGACATTTACATATTGTATAAATGTTTTAGAGAAAGGGAGGCTATGTCAGAAATGAACCTGGGATTTAGTTTTGAAGAAGAGGGTAGGTTGGTGAGGGAAGTTCCCTCTGAAGAAATAGTATTTCAATGGAGATTTCAAAGATGGGAATGCAGCAGCCATGCTAACAAGCAAGGGGAGAGCATTCTGTGCAGGTAAGTATCAAAGCCCTGAGCTATACAGGTCATGGATGTCGAAGGATCATAAATAAGACCACATATGAGAGAAGTACAAGGTGATGTTGTGAAGTACAAGAGATAAGGTCTTAGGGGGTGAGCTGTTTAGATTTTGTCTTAAGGGCCACATGAAGTCAGTGATAGTTCTTAAGTAGAGGAGATAGATGAGAGCAAAGACCAGGAAATCGCAGTTGTCTGGGGAAGGGGTGGTGGTGAGTTGGACTAGGGTAATGAATAGAGAGTAAAGACAGAGTGGGGAGTTCAGGGAGCTTCAGGGTGGTGACTTTAGGAGATATAAGCAGCAGGAATTGATAATCCATAGGCATGAGAAATAAGCAATACCAAGTTTGGAGTTGGAGCAACTAGTGGTGCTATTGATTGAGAAAGGTAACATGAAGGATTAAACAATGGGATCTATCAAGACCTCATTTTTACACGTTAAACTGGAGAGAAGAACTGGACATGCAAATGAAGACATCAATGAGGCAATTGTTTATTCAAGCCTGGAATGGGGACAAGAAATCTATAATTATGAATTAATTTAAAAATCAAGAAATACTTAAATCCATTACACTAAAGCCTTCAAGAAAAACAATAGACACCTGGATGTATGTACCAATTGAGATAAGTACACAGCATGGTACATAATTTGATGATCATTGATATTCTTAACTCAGCCCCAGGCCCTAGAATGTACTTATCCCAGGTATATAAATGATTAGTCTACCCTATTTTTTTTTAAGAGAGAGAGAGAATTTCACTATTTATTTTTCAGTTTTTGGCGGACACAACATCTTTGTATGTGGTGCTGAGGATCGAACCCGGGCCGCATGCATGCCAGGAGAGCGCACTACCGCTTGAGCCACATCCCCAGCCCTAGTCTACCCTATTTTCCAGGCTTCTTTTTGTTACCTTTAGTACTTTGCTGTGTGCAGGTGTGTGTGTGTGGTGTGTGTGTGTGTGTGTGTGCGTGTGCACGCGCGCACTTGTGCATGTGCACGCGCACTGGTCATTATCCTGGCAGTCAAACCCCTAAAGTTGTGTTCTGGGAGAGGAAGACAGTGGTTATAGTCTCAGCTTCATTATTTCAAGGGCTCTGTGGGAATGTTTTTTCTCTCTGCCTCCTACCCACAGGCCCCTGCAGTAAGGATGGGTAGCACATGGTCAGATCCCTGGCCACTTGCTGAGTGATCACCTGTGCATGAGGACACGCCCCCTAAGAAATCACCCGGTTCTAAGCATTTCATTATGGAATGCAAACCACTCAAAGCCAATTGGATGCAGACATGTGTCCCTCATCTCACTGTCTCATCTCTGGGTAGGGCACATGTCCTATGCTTCAGTGCCTCAGGATGGACTATGTGGAAGTTCCTCTGACTGAAGACAATCATGATCCGCAAGACCCAGCCTCTCTTTCTTATACCTCATTTACCCCTTTACCCAAGGGGAACTGGGCCATTTTCACTCCTTCTCCTAATCTTCTCTTACTTTCTCAACTGGGGCAATGAGGGAAGAAAGTTTTGAACCCTAGGAATCCTGGGGAACAATACCTGGTGATTGGATGGTTTTATACTCTGCAGACAACTTTTGCTATTTGCCTTTTGTTTTCCTCCCTACACACACACACACACACACACACACACACACACACACACACGTCCCAAATTTGGGTTATTTAAGAATTCCATTAAAAACAAATCAGATATCCTCTACTTTGAGGGCTAATTTCCTGTTGATGGCACCCATTGTTTCCACAAACTAAAGTCCCCTGCACATATTTAGTAGCATCACTCTTAGGCCTAATGTCCCCTTCCATTTAGTGCTTGGAAGCAGTGTGATCATTTCCTTCCTCATGGGCTTTCTCCATGACCTAAAGTGG